GTCTGGATTAGGGCTGGGATAATAAATCAATGCATCGCGAATCGAGAAATGATTCTGCATCGATCCTGAGATTTTACAAAGGCATCGCGTTTCTCTCTTGAATCGATTCTGAGCTTAGTTTTTAACAGCAGATGGCACGGCGTGCTGTAGAAATAGCCGTATTCTGCTTGCTTCCAGTTCCTTACACACGCACCACTTGAACCTAAAATAATCATTCATAAAGTTCAAAAAGGTTGAAGCAAATTACAAGGATGTTCACAGTGGGCTGTGTTTACATTAATCTCACATCATAAAAGCCGATGTGCAAGTACATTTAACCACTTGCATTACTCAGCCGAACGCACAAGCGCTCTTCTTCGTTAGCATTTGAGTGTGTGGTTAAAAACTAGCCTAGAGAGCCATCTGCTGTTAAAAACTAAGCTCAGAATCGATTCGAGAGAGAATCACGATGCATTCCGAAAATCTCAGAATCAATCCACGAATCGTGATGCATCGATTTATTGTCCCAGCCCTAGTCTGGATCCCGCCAAGCGCCCGAGCTCACAGCAGAAGCTTTCGAAAGGTTCATACCCTTCTCAAAGTTTTCTGCAAGCTCAACCTGCAAACCCTGCAATCTAAGACTTCGCCGTGCCTTGGCAGCAGCTGAACCTGAACTACGAGATGCAGATGCTTGTCCCTCATCCCTCGAGAAGAGGGACAAACACGAATGGAGCTTTCTTATTTGAAATTCTCACAATGAGCACATTCAGAGCCCTCGAGCACCAAACGCATGTGCTCCTCACCAAGACACATAACCCATAGATCGAGTGTGTCCTCGGGTGTCAGAAACCTTGGACACGGAGGCACACACTTTCTAAAATGCTCACTTGCCTTGGTTTCTCCATACCGCTTTCACACGCACTGTCAAACAAATGGCTCCTGAAGACAACAAAAGTTGATATTGATAAAAAAGTTGATAAATGTTTTACCATCATTTTTGTTTAATTTAATGCATCCTTACTGAATAAAAGTATTAATTTCTTTAAATGAAAACTGTTCGGCAGGTGTCCTCTAATACTTCCGGGTGCCCGCCTGTGATGCCACGGGCTACGTGGGGCAATGAGATTGGAGTTGTTTCACATGTGCTTCAGACACCGGTCCTGCTTGCGGCAGTCCCCATAGTGTCTGCTAGAGGACGCAAAGCGAGTTCCCTAGAAGGGGAAACTGAATTTTCAGCATCATTACTCCAGTCTTCAGTGTCACATGATCCTTCAGAAATTATTCTGATATGCTGATTTCTGCTCAGGAAACATTTCTTATTATTATCAATGTTGAAAACAGTTATGCTGCTTAATATTTTTGTGGAAATATGATACTTTTTTTCAGGATTCTTTAATTAATAGAAAATAAAAAAACTACATTTATTTCAAATAGAAATCTTTTGTAAAATTGTAAATGTTTTACCATAATTTTTGTTTAATTTAATGCATCCTTACTGAATAAAAGTATTAATTTCTTTAAATGAAAAGCCCGAGATAGAGACACAAAGACAGACAATATCTGATACAGTTGTACCTGAGATCCCAGCTTATAGACTGCTATAATTTTAACATTTTCAGAAAAGCGCTGAAAATAATTGTCTTCTCTCTGTGGAAGATATAATTTATGCTGATTTGCTACTGAACTCTTGATGATAAAGAGAGATTTGAATATTATTACAGAAAAAAGAACAGACTGAGGATGATGGAGGAATCCCTGTGATCCTAAACATTTCTACAGTAGTTAATTTGTCTCCTCAGAGAGTCTCTGGAATAACTTCTGATGGGTTAATGAGCTGATAAGGGGCTTGTGATCATTTAGAAATATGATAATAGTAATTATAGAGCTTAAGAACATGGGTGTGTTGTTAAACTGTGTGTGTCTGTACAGTGATCTTCAGTGTAATGTGTTGCTGTTCCGTTTAGTGTTTGTTGTTCAAGTCTCAATGTGAATTTTACTGCACATCTCACTCTGAATCTCACTTTGAATGAATAGTTTACCCCAAAAATGTAAATTTGCTGAAAATATACTTACCCTCAGGCCATCCAAGATGCAGATGAGTTTGTTTCTTCATCAAAACAGATTTGGAGAAATGTAGCATTACTAGTATTATCACCTGCTCACCAATGGATCCCCTGCAGTGAATGGGTGCCGTCAGAATGAGAGTCCAAACAGCTGATAAAAACATCACAATAATCCACAAGTAACCCACATGTATTTTACGTGCTGTAAATCCAACTGACAGGACTCTCTGAACTGCATTTATAAAGGTTTAATGAAAGGGTTAAGAGCTTTTGAATTGAAAAGCTGGTTTGTAAGAAACAGATCCATCATTAAAGTGTCCCTATTATGCCATTTTTAAGGTTCCTAATAATGTTTTGGGAGTCTCCTACAATAGGATTAAATGCATGCAAGGTAAAAAAAAAAGCTTTAGTTTTCTCAAAATATTAATTTAATGCCACCTAATTCTCAAATGATTCGGTCGGAGCAGTTCTAAGATTCAGTCTCTCTAAGCCCCTCCTTTCCGTGAGCCTATTCTGCTCTGATTGGTCAGATGGCCCAGTCTGTTGTGATTGGTCTACCGCATAGAGCACGTGTCGGAAAGGATACACCCATTGCCATAGTTCCGTATTTTGAACACTCGACAGAAAATATAAACATCTATTAATTATCATGCTTACAGGTTGTGATTCAGTGAAGCCAGCTGGTCCAAATAAACTGAGTACTGAGCCATCTTTCAAGAGCAAGTGTTTTGTGAATCCCGTGTTAAAATCCCCGAGATTATAGAAGCAGTCATCAGTAAATGACGTGTTTGTTGGCGGGGTCAAGTTGTTTGCGGCCGGCCAACGTAGAACATAAGCGGGAATTATGCAAATGTGTTACCTCGTGACATGTAGCCGTCATGAAAGTGGGATTGGAATTACTAATGACTAGTTTAGGCTGTACAAAGTCGATTCTTCATTTTGGAAGACAGTAACTTTATTTATCGTGTACTTTCGGCTTTACAACTTTCCAGATCGTTTATACTCATACAGCTGCATTACACACTGCATGAAAGGCAATATTCGAAATGGCATAATGGGCACTTTAAGATTTTTTACATTTAAACCATTGCTTCAGGCCAAAATACTTGTCTACAGTCTATAATAATGTGAAAATCCATCCTTGTTGTCCTCTCACATCAATATTCCAGCTGCATATTTGTTTAGAAATGTTTTGGACTGTTTTTCGCTTTTAAATGGTGCTTGATCTGT